GTTTCGCTCTTGTTACCCAGGCTGGAGTGCAATGGCGCGATCTCGGCTCACCGCAACCTCCGCCTCCTGGGTTCAGGCAATTCTTCTGCCTCAGCCTCCTGAGTAGCTGGGATTACAGGCACGCGCCACCATGCCCAGCTAATTTTTGTATTTTTAGTAGAGACGGGGTTTCACCATGTTGACCAGGATGGTCTCGATCTCTTGACCTCGTGATCCACCCGCCTCGGCCTCCCAAAGTGCTGGGATTACAGGCGTGAGCCATCGCGCCCGGCCAACGTCGCTTTAAAGAGTAAAGCATGGCTGGGTGTGGCGGCTCATGCCTGTAATCCCAACACTTTGAGAGACTGAGGCAGGCAGATCACCTGAGATCAGGAGTTCGAGACCAGACTGGCCAACATGGTGAAACTCTGTCTCTACTAAAAACCCAAAAATTAGCTAGGCGTGGTGGCGGACGCCTGTAATCCCAGCTACTCAGGAGGCTGAGACAGGAGAAACACTTAAACTTGGGAGGCAGAGGTTGCAGTGAGCCAAGATTGTGCCATAGCACTCTAGCCTGGGCGACAAAGCCAGACTCCACCTAAAAAAAAAAAAAAAAAAAACAGAGAGGCCATGCATGGTGGCTCACATCGTCAGGAGTTCAAGACCAGCCTGGCCAACATGGTAAAACCCTTTCTCTACTAAAAATACAAAAATTAGCTGGGCATGGTGGCATGTGCCTATAATCCCAGCTACTCTGCAGGCTGAGGCAGAAGAACTGCCTGAAACAGGACCGGAGAGGCGGAGATTGCGGTGAGTCAAGATCTCACCACTGTACTCCAGCCTGGGCTCCAAAGTAAGACTGTCTCAAAAAAAGAAAAAAAAGGTTAAAAAGTAGAGGAGCAACAGCTTTATCACTGAAGTTGCCGTTCTCTTTTCTTTTTTTTTTTGAGACAGTCTCCCTCTGCCACCAAGCTGGAGTGCAGTGGCGTGACTTAGCTCACTGCAACCTCTGCCGCCTGGCTTCAAGCAATTCTCCTGCCTCAGCCTCCCAAGTAGCGGGGACTAGAGGCCAGGGTAATTTTTTGTATTTTAATAGAGGCAGGGTTTCCCCATGTTGGCGAGGATAGTCTCAATCTCCTGACCTCATGATCTGCCCGCCTCAGCCTCCCAAACCGCGCCCGATCAATCTTCTCTATTTTCAAATTTTGAGCGTTCCAAAGTTTGGAGATGGTTGTGGCATCACGGGTTGTTTTTGTATTTTTGTTATATTTGCCTGTGAAGTAAATTCACACAGCATGTTGTCACCCTGGATCTCAGCCACTGTGGGAATGACCTGAGTTTTCATTACGCCTGTTTGGGTTAGGAACCGTTAAGGAAATGCATAATAAATATCTTTTTTTTTTTTTTGAGACGGAGTTTCGCTCTTGTTGCCCAGTCTGAAGTACAATGGTGTGATCTCAGCTCTCTGCTATCTCCGCCTCCCAAGTTCAAGCAATTCTCCTGCCTCAGCCTCCGAAGTAGCTGGGATTACACGTGTGCACCACACCCAGCTAATTTTTGTATTTTTAGTAGAGACGGGATTTCACCACGTTGGTCAGGCTGGTCTCGAATTCCTGACCCCAGGAATCCACCCACCTTGGCCTCCCAAAGTGCTGGTATTACAAGAGTGAGCCACCACGCCCGGCCTATAATTAATATCTTAATAGCGCACAGCTTAAATGAAGTGGCACACTGAGTTCTGGCATCCTCTAACTCACCTGCAATCTGGAAATAATATCGTCATTTCCTGTGTGGCCGCCAAAGACCCAATCAGAATTCTCTGAGCGGCCGTAACTCCTTGAGCTGAAATGAAAATACAATAAAACCCTCCTCAGTATCGCCTGATAGTGAAGTTCCCAGTTCTCCCCCTGCCTCCAGAGTTGGGTGATGCCTGTGCTGCTCTGACAGTGTGGCCCTCACATTAGTCAATAAACGGCAAAACTGCGACCAAATACTAGCAACCCCAATCCAGGAAACAAAAGTTATGTACCATGGCCAAGAAGGTTTATCTCAAGAATGCAAGGTTAGCTTAACATCTCAAAACTAACATAATGCAGTTATCAATAAAATACAAAGCAAAAGCATAAGATTATCGAAATGGATGCAGAAAAAGCACTTGACAAAATTGAACATTCTTTTGTGATGAAAACAATCAATCAACTAGGAACAGAAGGGAATCTTCTCAATCTGGTACCTGGCATTTATGAAAAACCCACAGCTAACATCAAATTTAATGAGAAAAAACTGAAAGCTTTACTCCTAAGATCACGGGCATATACTGCCTGGGGCAGGGCATGGTGGCTCATGCCTGTAATCCCAGCACTTTGGGAGGCCAAGGCAAGCAAGTCACCTGAGGTCAGAAGTTCAAGACCAGCCTGGCCAACATGGTGAAACCCTCTCTCTACAAAAAAATACAAAAATTAGGCCAGGCACAGTGGCCCATACCTATAATCGCAGCACATTGGGAGGCCAAGGCAGGAGAATCGTTTGAACCCGGGAGGCGAAGGTTGTTGCAATGAGCTAAGATCACACCATTGCACTCCAGCCTGGATGACAATGGAGGCTCCGTATCCAAAAAAAAAAAAAAAAACTCAGAATCATTATACATCAGGGAATCAGGAAAATGCAAATCAAAACCACAATGAAACAGCATTTACCCACTAGGATGGCTGTTATCACAAAGTCAGGCCTGGCACAGAGTCTCACACCTGTAATCCCACCACTGTGGGAGGACGAGGCAGGCGGGTCACTTGAGATCATGAGTTCAAGACCAGTCTGGCCAACACAGTGAAACCCCATCTCTACTAAAAATGCAAAATTAGGCCGGGTGCAGTGGCTCACGCCTATAATCCCAGCACTTTGGAAGGCCAAAGCGGGCAGACCACAAGGTCAGGAGTCCAAGACCATCCTGGCTAAAACAGTGAAAGCCCATCTGTACTGAAAACACAAAAAATTAGCTGGGCATGGTAGTGGGCGCCTATAATCCCAGCTACTCGGGAGGCTGAGGCAGGAGAATTGCTTGAACCTGACTGAGAGGTGGAGGTTGCAGTGAGCTGAGATGGCGCCACTGCACTCCCGCCTGGGAGACAGTGAGACTCTTGTCTCAAATAAATAAACAAACAAACAAACAAACAAAAATTAGCTAGGCGTGATGGTGTCTGTAGTCCCAGCTACTTGAGGGGCTAAAGCAGGAAGATCACTTGAGCCTAGAAGGTTGAGGCTACAGTGGGTTGAGACCTCACCACTGCACCCGAGGCTGGGTGACCAATAAGACTCTGCCTCTAAATAAATAAATAAAAGTAAGACTGTCTCAAAAAAAAATGTGAACGGATAAACAAAATGTGGCTGATCCTTCTGTTCCACAGTAACCAGGTCTGTGCAAACCTACCCATAAAAGCTGTGGAAGCCAAGCCGGGAGGCTGAAGAATGAGGCTGAAAAATCCAGTTTCTCAGACAAAAACATTTGAAGACTTACAGACAGAAGCCGTGTCTCCAGCAGCCTAGATGCTTAGGAGATGCTGCATCCCTCCACTGTTACCCCCAGGCAGGTCTTCTATACCACCGGGAAGGTCACTCAGCGTAGAGAGGAGATTCTGCACCACCCTTGCACGTTACCCGCAGGCGGGGCTTCTATACCACAGGGAAGGACTACGTAGGACTCCTGAAGTCAGCCCCTCAGGTGAAGGCACGAATGCTCTGTGAATCTAACCGCCGGATTTAGGGTGGAAGATTTGTTTTTTTGTTCTGACATGCGGTCTCACTGTCACCCATGATGGAGTGTTATCACAACTCACTGCAACCTGTGTCTCCCAAGCTCAAGCAGTCCTCCCACTTCAGCCTCCCAAACAGCTGGGACCACAAGCACGCACCACCATGCCTGGCTAATATTGTTTTTGTCAAGACAGGGCTTCACCAGGCTGGTCTCGAACTGCTGAGCTCGGATGACCCGCCTACCTTGGCCTCCCAGTGCTGAGATTACGGGCATGAGCTACTGTGCCCGGCCTCAAGGCTGTTTTGACCTAAGAGTGGGATTTAAGTTAACAGCAGATATATGGGAAGCCTCAGGCAGCATTCTTGGAGTGGGGTTAACAAGAAGTCAACGTGGCGCACTAGCACCCACGATGGAGGGGCGCTGGCCTCCACACCTGCAGTGTGCATCCATCAGCCATGAGGAAGGGCGAACTGATAAGGGCTATGACACAGACGAGCCTCAAAAACATTCTGCTTCCTCCTCAGCAAAAGAAACCAGACACTAAGGGCCACATACTACGTGATTATGTTAACAGTGAATATCCCAAACAGGCAAATCCATGAACCACAGATGGATTCCTGGTTGCCCCAGGCAGGAGACATGGCAGGAAGGCACACACACACTTGCTGTCCCTGCAGGGCTGCATGCAGGAGCCCACTGGGACAAAGGTGGGACGGTCCCCGGTGATGGCACTCCGCCCATCTTTCTGGCCCACATACAATGCCTCAGAAACTGCCGTGTCCTAAGCGTTCCGCTCAGATGGTGAGATGCTGTGATGCCCAATATCTGCTAGACCATTTGTGCCATGCTTCACACTTACTGATCTTCAATACCAGGTGATGGAAGAAAGAGACAAAGTTGTTGCTCTTTCTTTTTGGAGACAGAGTCTCGCTCTGTTGCCCAGGCTGGAGTGCAGTGGCACAATCTCAGCTCACGGCAACCTTCGTCTCCTGGGTTCAAGTACTTCTCCTGCCTCAGCCTCCCAAGTAGCTAGGATTACAGGCACCCACCACCATGCCCGGTTAATTTTTCTATTTTCAGTAGACGGGGTTTCACCGTGTTGGCCAGGCTGGTCTCAAACTCCTGACCTCAGGTGATCCATCCAGTTCGGCCTCCCAAAGTGCTGGATTACAGGTGTGAGCCACCACGCCCAGCCCAAAGTCGTTGCTCTTGACAAGTGTATACACATAAAGAAGCTACCGATTTGGAAAGCTTGCTTTTATTTTGTGCAGACTTAGACTTGCTATGTGATATGCTCAAGCGTACTCTGCATAATAAAACTGGACTGAGATAAAAAGGCAGTCCCAGAACTACCATGATTAAAAGTAAGGCCTCATTGGTGTGTGTGTCAACTTGATTGGACTGAAGGATGCAAAGTACTCATCCTTGGTTTGTCTGTGAGGGTGCCGCTGATGGAGATTAACATTTGAGTCAGTGGGCTGGCAAAGGCAGACCCACCCTTAATCTGGGTGGGCACCCAGATGCAATCAGCTGCCAGCACAGCCAGAAACTCCCCTTTGTAGACATCCTATGAGTTCCGTCCCTCTAGAGAACCCGGACTAATTCAGTGCACAATGCTAACCTTTGGTGGAAATCCATCAGCGCATCGACAAGAATGGTACATGCGGCCTCCAGGTCTCCGTCACAGCCCCCTGAGGCAGAGGGCTCAGGGAGAAAGTGCTCATGGATCGCCCACTGGTGGAAGTCCTGTCTGGAACAGCAAACACTGACATCACTTCTGAGAAATGCTTTGTGGCCAGAGGTTACCCATACCCAGGAAGTAGGCCCACAGTCAGGAACATACAGCCCAAGTGACAGCTGAATGAAGTCTGGTTGGTGGCTCAGGACCTTGGAGTCCTCAGTGAGATTCGACCTCACTGTCTGCAGGTTGAGGGGCTGCGGGCTGTGGGAAAGGCCTGGTCTCAGGAGTGATCTCTGTGACCCCACTCTTCCACTGATCAAAGCCCACTCAGGGTATCATCCCACTGGTTAACTGCTGACCACATGGCTGATGAGCCTGGTGAACAGAATGGCCAACCACACAAAAGTAGGCTGGCAAGTCGCCTGAGGACACACCTGAGCTCCTCACAGCCCACCAGCAGTGGACGGTGAAGCAACCTGTGTCCTGACCGTAGGCTCTGTGCATATGGACGGGAAAGGCTTCAAGTCACACTCACGCAAAATTGCAGTGCCTACATCTGTAATCCCAGCACTGTGAGAGGCCAAGGTGGGAAGATCACTTGAGCCCAAGAGTTTGAGATTAGCCTGAGCAACACAGGGAGACCCCATCCCTACAAAAAATAAAAAATTAGCCGGGCATAGCGGTGCCCGCCTCTGGTCCCTGCTACTCAGGAAGCTGAGGCAGGAGGATCACTTGAGCTCTGGGGAGGGAGGCTGCAGTGAGTCGTGACTGCACCACTGCACTCCAGCCTGGGCAACAGAGGGAGACCCTGTCTCAAACAAACAAACAAACAAACAAACAAACAAACGTGCAATGCACAGAACCATCAATACCGTAATCCATTCATACAGAAAGAGCCCACCCAGGAAAATGTGAGTGCTAGGGTGTGTGCTTTATCCACTGTCTGAAACTTGCCCAGAACAGGGTATCTAGGTATCACTTAAGTAATTAAGAAAGACAATCCCAGGGATACATCTCCCAAAGTGCTGGGATTATAGGCGTGAGCCACCATGCCCAATTGGGGTAGCTCTTTTTTTGAGACGGAGTTTCACTCATGTTACCCAGGCTGGAGTGCAATGGCGCGATCTCGGCTCACCGCAACCTCCGCCTCCTGGGTTCAGGCAATTCTCCTGCCTCAGCCTCCTGAGTAGCTGGGATTACAGGCACGCACCACCATGCCCAGCTCATTTTTTTTTTTTTTTTTTTTTTTTTTGTATTTTTAGTAGAGACGGGGTTTCACCATGTTGACCAGGATGGTCTTGATCTCCTGACCTCGTGATCCACCCGCCTCGGCCTCCCAAAGTGCTGGGATTACAGGCTTGAGCCATGGGGTAGCTCTTTTAAACCTTTACCTTTCTGTATCTGAAAGGGCATCAACTTCAGGTCGAATTTCCAGTTCCAGGTGTAGCCAGTCTCGGTAAGTTAACTAAGAGAAAGGGAGCGGTTCAGTACAATGAGGAGGACGGGACACACAATGCACACGCTAGGCTTATCAAACAGTTTGTTACTTCATCTCATAGGCCGCCATCCGTGTCCCTGTGTTACAATGAAATTGCAGCTGAAAGAGTCCCACAGCAAAGAAACCTAAGTTCTGTTGGGAATTATTTCTATTCTTACAGCATTGCACTGGCACAAAGATGTTAGCACTGTAATCCGTTTTTTCCAAGTATAAAAGGACCATTTTAGTATGGGCAACATAGTAAGACCCCATCTCTACAAAACATTTAAAAATTACCTGGGCACGGTGGCTCATGCTTGTAATCCCCCACTCTGGGAGGCTGAGGCCAGCAAACTGCTTGAGCGTATGAGCCTAGGCAACAAGACCTCATCTCTACAGAAGATTTAAAGATCAGCCAGGCATGGTGGCTTGTCCATGTGGTCCCAGCCACTTGGGAGGTCGAGGCAAGAGGACTGCTTGAGCCCAGAAGATCGAGGCTGCAGTGAGTGACAGAGCGAGACCTATCTACAACAACAAAACCCCAAGAAAGAATCTAACAAACAAGAAACCGTTCTGCAGCTATTCATGGCAACGTATCATTTATTTGTGGAAACGGTCTGCAGCCCAGGCTGGAATGTGTGCAATGGTGCAGTCACAGCTCACTGCAGGCTCTACCTTGTGGCCTCTCAAATGGCTGGGACGGCAGGTACACATACCACACTCGGATCATTAAAAAAAAAATTTCTAGTCAAGGCCGGGTGAGGTGGCTCAGCCCTATAATCCCAGCACACTGGGAGGCTGAGGTGGGTGGATCACGAGGGCAGGAGTTAGCGACCAGCCTGACCAACACGGTAAAATCCATCTCTGCCAAAAATACAAAACTTAGTTGGGTGTGCTGGTACATGCCTGTAATCCCAGCTACTCAGGAGGCTGAGACAAGAGAATCGCTTGAACCTGGGAAGTAGAGATTGCGGTGAGCCGAGATCGGGCCACTGCCCTTCAGCCTGGGTGACAAGCCAAGGCTGTCTCAAAAAAAAAAAAAAAAAAAATTTTTTTTTTTTTAGTAGGACAAGGTGTTACTATGTTGATGGGGCTGGTTTTGAACTGAGCTCAGGTGACCCTGCCACCTCGGCTTCCAAAAGTGCTGGGATTCGAGACGTGAGCCATGGCGCCAATCTTGTGTTAACACACTTCTTGTTTGTAAATCTTTAAACAGTTCCATGATTCAACACAGACTAATTTCAATATGTTAATCTGTGGACTAACCTCAAAACCTTCCACTGCAGGAAAAGAATCCCGTCACAGCAGCACTCCTCCAGCACTCCGTCTGGGTGAGGCCAGAGCTGCAGTGTCTGCGCAGGACACACACAGACCAGCACACGCT